AATGGGTCAACCAAGGAATCAAAGAGGAAATAAAAAAAATACATGGAGACAAATGAAAACGAAAACACAGTGGTCCAAAATCTATGGGAATCAACAAGAGCTGTTCTAAGAAGGAGTATTATAGCAATGCAGACCTACCTCAAGAAGCAAAAAAAAAATCTTGAAAAACCTATACTTATACCTAAAGGAGCTAGGGAAAAAAAACAACAACACTATAAGGAAGGAAATAATACACATTAGAGTAGAAATAAATGAAGTAGAAACAAACAAACAAACAAAAAACAGATTAATGAAACCAGGACTCCCTCAGTTCTCGAAAAGATCAACAAAAATGAAAAATTAATAAATCTTTAGTCAGACTCATAAGAAAAAGAGAAAGAAAGAGAAAGTGAGATAGAGGATTCAAATAAGCAAAATAATAAATGAGAAAAGAGCTATAACAACCAACACTAGGGAAAGTATAAAGGATTATAAAAAATATAAAAAATTATATGCCAACATATTGGATAGCCTACAAGAAATGGATAAATTCTCAGAAGCTTATAACGTCCCAAAACTCAATCAGGAAGAAATAGAGAATTTGAACATAATAATTATGAAGAAAGAAATTGAATCAGCAATCAAAAGATTCCCAACAAAGTCTGAGATCAGATGACTTTGTTGATGAATTCTACCAAACATTTAAAGACGAGTTAATACCTATTCATTTCAAACTATTCCAAAAAAAAAAAAAAAAAAAAAAAGAGGAAGGAAATCTTCCAAAATCATCCCATGAGGCCAATATTACCCTGATATCAAAACCTGTTTAAGACACTACAATATAAGAGAACTATAGGCAGATATCTCTGATAAACACATATGCAAAATCCTCAACAAAATATTAGCAATCCAGATCTAACAATACATTAAAAAAATAATTCACCATGATCAAGTGGAATTTATTCCTGTAATGCAAGTGTGTTCAATATTTGCAAATCAATCAACATGATATATTACATCAACAAGAGAAAGGATAAAAATGATACAATCATTTTGATAGATGCAGAAAAAGCATTTGATGAAGTACAACATCCATTCATGATAAAAATCCTCAACAAGGTAGGTTTAGAGGGAACATACCTCAAAATAATAGAGGCCATATATGAAAAATCCACAGCTATCACCATCTTCAATGATGAAAAACTGAGTGTTTCCCCCAAGATCGGGAACAAGACAAGGATATCCACTCTCACCAATTTTATTCAGCATAGTACTATTAGTCTTAGCCACAGCAATCAGACATGAATAAAAACAAAAGCATCCAAATTGGTAAGAAAGAAGTAAAACTTTCATTATTTGCAAGTGACATGATAGTATATATAGAAAACTCTCAAGACTCCACAAAAAACTAGAACTGGTAAATGAATTCATTATAAAAAATAAGTATACAGAATCTGTTGCATTCCTATACACTAATAATGAAGTATACAAAATAAGTATACAGAAATCTGTTGCATTTCTATACACTAATAATGAAGTAGCAAAATAGGAATTAAGAAAACTGTCTCATTTACAACTGCACCAAAAAGAATAAAATACCTAGGAATAAACTTAACCAAGGTGGTGAAAGACCTGTTTTCTGAAAACTATAAAACACTGATTAAAGAAATTGAGATGAGATAAACAAATATGATATTCCATGCTCATGGATTGGGGGAACAAATATTTTAAAAATGTCCATAATACCCAAAGCAATCTAAAAATTTAACGTAATCCCTATGAAAATATCAACAAACATTTTTACAGAACTAGAAAAAATAGCCCTAAAATTTGTATGGAACCACAAAAAAAAATCTCAAGTAATCAAAGCAATCTTAAAAAAGAACAAAACTGGATACCACAATCCCAGATTTCAAAATATTCTACTAATTGTAATCAAAACACTATGGTACTGGTACAAAAACAGATTTATGAATCAACATAATAAAGTTCCCAGAAATAAACCCATGATTATATACTCAATTAATCTATGACAAATGAGACAGGAATGTGCAATGGTAAAAAGACAGTCTCTTCAAAAAATAGCATTGGGAAAACTGGACAGCTACATGCAAAGAAATGGAACTGGCCCTCTCACACAATACAGAGAAAAAAACCTAAAGTGAATTAAAGACCTAAATGTGACATGTGAAATGATAAAAATCCTAGAAGAGAGCACAGGCAGTAATTCCTCTACCACTGGTCCAGGAGCAAAATTTTTCCAGGTATGTCTCCTGAGGCAAAGGAAACAAAAGCATAAACTGTTGGGACTACATCAAAATAAAAAGCTCTGCACAGCAAAGGAAATAATCAGCAAAACGAAAAGGCAACCTATTGAATGGGAGAGGATATTTGCAAAAAACATATCTGATAAAGGGTGAGTATCCAAAAAACATTAAGAACTTACACAACTCAACATCAAAAAAAAAAAGGAACAAAAACAAGTAATCTGATTAAAAATGGGCAGAAGACATGAACAGATATTTCTCCAAAGAAGACATACAGATGGCCAACAGACACATGAAAAGATGCTCAGCATCACTCATCATCAGGGAAATGCAAATCAAAACCACAATGAGATATCACCTCACACCCGTCAGAATGGCTAAAATAACAACACAAAAAACAAATGTTTGTGAGGATGTAGAAAAAAAGGAACCTTCCTGCACTGTTGGTAGGAATGCAAACTGGTGTAGCCACTTTGGAAAACAGTGTGGAGGTTCCTCAAAAAATTAAAAATTAGAATTACTACATGAGGGGTACCTGAGTGGCTCATCCGACTCTTGATTTCAGCTCAGGTCATGATATTAGTGTTGTGAGATCCTTCCCACATCAGGCTCCACACTTAGTGTAGAGCCTGCTTAAGATTCTCTCTCTCCCTCTGCCCCTCCTCTCCACTAGCTCTCAGGAAGGAAGGAAGGAAGGAAGGACCACATGATCCAGTAATTCTACTACTGTGAATTTACGCAAAGAACATGAAAACACTAAAAGATATTTTCACCCCTATGTTTATTGCAACATTATTTACAATAGCCAAATTATGGAAGCAGCCTAAGTGTTCACTGATAGATGAATGGATGAAGATGTGGTGTATATATAGAATGGAATATTACTTGGCCGTAAAAAGAATAAAATCTTGCCATTTGCAAAAACATGGATGGCTCTAGAGGGTATTATGCTAAGTGAAATAAGTCAGTCCAAGAAAGACAAATACCATATGATTTCACTCATATGTGGAATTTAACAACAAAAAAAATGAACAAATGAACAAATGAACAGCAACAACAAAAAAGAGACAAACTGAAAAATAAACTCTTAAATATAGAGAACAAACTGATGGTTACCAGAGGGGAGGTAGGTGGAGGGATGGGTGCAATAGGTTAGGGGAATTAAAGAGTACACTTATCTTGATGAGCACTGAGTAATGTATACAATTGTTGAATCACTGTTTTGTACACCTGAAACTAATATAGCACTGTATGTTAATTATACTGGAATTAAAATAAAACAAGAAAAAAAAAGAAAGACTCAATTTAAGGGAAATTAATCTGTGTTCATGGATCACAGAACCTACTGTTGAAATGGCAATCATCTTTACATTGATATTCAGATTCAATGCAATCCCTATCAGTTACAGTTAGCTTCTTGTAGAAACTGACAAGCTCATCCTAAAATTCATAGACATGCTCAAGGACCCAGGATAGCCAAAACAGTATCGAAAATATTGAAAAAAAAAAGGGGGGGGCACCTGGGTGGCTCAGTCGTTAAGCGTCTGCCTTTGGCTCAGGTCATGATCCCAGGGTCCTGGGATCGAGCCCCGCATCGGGATCCCTGCTCAGCAGGAAGCCTTCTTCTCCCTCTCCCACTCCCTCTGCTTGTGTTCCCTCTCTCGCTGTGTCTCTCTCTGTCAAATAAATAAATTAAATCTTTAAAAAAAAGAAGAAGAAGAAGAAGAAGAAAATTGGATGACTCGTACTTTGTAATTTCAAAACTTTCTACAAAGTAACATTAACAATATGGTATTGGCATAAGGATACACATATCAGTCAATGGAACAGAATTTAATAATCCAGATATAAGCCTTCATATTTATGGTCAATGGTATTTTGACAAATGTGCCAAAGCAATTCAACAGAGTAAAAAAGTCTTTTCAACTAATGGTACCAGGACAAATTTATACCCAAATGCAAAATATAAATTTGGGCATCTAAGCACATCATACACCATACACAAAAATTAACTTAAAATAGTTCAAATGACTAAATGTAAGAGATAAAAGTATAAAAGTATAAAACTCTTAGGAAAAAAACAGGAAATATTTTTAAATTCATTCGACAACTGCCTCTTATATATGACACTGAAACCAGAAATGACAAAGGAAAACCTTAGATAAAATGGATTCATCAAAATTAAAAACCATTGTGCAGTAAACAATACCATCAAGGAAGTAGAAAAACAAAACCAGAAAGGGGGACTATATTTTAAATCATATACATGATAAGAAATTTGTATACAGAATACAGAAGGAACTCTTACAATTGAATAAGAGAAAAGTAATCTGATTCAAAATGGGCTCTGTACAGACTTTTCTCCAAAGAAAATATACAAATAGCCAATAAACACATGAAAAAATGTTCAACATCAATAATCGTTAGAAAAATTGCAAAACTAAACCACAATCAGTTACTACTTCACACTCACTAGGATACTATAATCAAAGAGCCAGACAATTAAGATGTTGGCAAGGATATAAAGAAATTGGAATCCTCACACACTGCTGGTGCTAATGAAAAATGGTGTAGCCACTTTGGGAAATGATCTGGCAGTACATCAAAATGTTAAATATAGAGTTACCATATGACCTAATAATTTTACTCCTATGGAGGTACTCAAGAAAAATAAGTGATATAGGAGAATAATAATAAATAGAAATAAAAAATAAATAAAAATACATGCCCTCTCAGCCTCCAGGTTCTGAGAAGATGGCAAAGGTCTCAGAGCTTTATGATGTCACTTGGGAAGAAATGCGAGATAAAATGAGAAAATGGAGAGAAGAAAACTCATAAAACAGTGAGCAAATTGTGGAAGTTGGAGAGGAATTAATGAATATGCTTCTAAGCTTGGAGATGATATTTGGATCATATATGAGCAAGTGATGATTGCAGCCCTAGACTATGGTTGAGATGATTTGGCATTGTTTTGTCTTCAGGAGTTGAGAAGACAGTTCCCTGGCAGTCACAGAGTCAAGAGATTTGAAGCATGAGATTTGAAGCCATGGAAAGATATGATGATGCTATACAACTATATGATAGAATTTTACAAGAAGATCCAACTAACACTGCTGCAAGAAAGCATAAGATTACCATTTGAAAAGCCCAGGGGAAAAATGTGGAGGCCATTCGGGAACTGAATGACTATCTGGAACAATTTGTTGGGGACCAAGAAGCTTGGCATGAACTTGCAGAACTTTATATCAATGAACATGACTATGCTAAAGCAGCCTTTTGTTTAGAGGAGATAATGATGACTAATCCACAAAACCACTTATACTGTCAGCAGTATGCTGAAGTTAAATATACCCAAGATGGACTTGAAAACCTCAAACTTTCAAGAAAGTATTTTGCTCAGGCACTGAAACTGAACAACAGAAATATGAGAGCTTTGTTTGGGTTTTACATGTCGGCAAGTCATATTGCGTCTAATCCAAAAGCAAGTGCAAAAACAAAAAAGGACAACATGAAATATGCTATTGGGCAGCTAGTCAAATAAACAGAGCTTATCAGTTTGAAGGTTGAAGTAAGAAGGAAATCAAATACACTCTTAAGGCAGTCGAAGACATGTTGGAAACACTGCAGATCACCCAGTCTTAAGGTTCCAAATTCTTTCACATGACATTTCACAACTGCACAATTGAACTTACTGGCCTGTGACTTATTTACTAAATGCCTAGTGCTATTTATGTACTAATTTTTTGTTAAGAGGGCAATTGTAAAGAATGTTTATATAAACCTAAAATGCCTTTTATTGCTAAGCAGGAAGATGGAGAGAGTCCATGGAAGGGAGATTTAACAAGATTCATATTGATTGTACATCATTCTCTTCATATCACACATATATAACTTCTCTTAAACCACAACCTGATGTAGAAATCCCATAAATAAATCATGTGATTTATTAAACTTGCAAAAAAAAATACATGCTCTCTCAAAAACATGTTCATAGCAACATTATTTAGAATCAAATGGAAATAACCTAAATGTCTACCAACTTTTATTTTTATTTTTAAATTTTTAAAAAGATTTTATTTATTTATTTGACAGAGAGAGAGAGAGCACAGAAACAGGAGGTGCAGCAGAGGGAGAGGGAAAAGCAGGCTCCCTGCTCAGCTGGGATGCTGGGATCATGACCTGAGCTGAAGGCAGCTGCTTAACCAACCGAGCCACCCAGGTGCCCCATCTGTCAAAGTTTAAATGGATAAATATACATGGTATATCTATACAACTGAATATTATTTGGCAATAAAGAGAATAAATTATTAACATATACTCAGCATGGATGAACCTTGAAAACATTATGCTAAGTGACAGAAGCCAGTCACAGAAGATTACATATTGTGGGATTCCTTATACAAAATATAGAAAATATAGATTCCCTATACTTTTGCATACAAAAGTATACAGTATAGGCAAATCTATAGAGAAAGGAGGTGAGTTGAATGGGGCTGACTGGCAGCAAGGGGTGTAGAGAGTTATGGCTAATGAGCACAGGGTTTCTTTCTGGGTGATAAAAATCCAGATTTAGATCACAGTGTAGTTGTACAACTCTGTGAATATATTAAAAATCATTAATTGAAACACATCAAATGGGCAAACTTGGGGATGAAGATATCATATCTTAATAAAGCTGTTAAAAATAGGACATGGAATAAAGGGCCAATATGTATGGTGATGAATTATTAATTGTATGTTTCTACATTCCATATTTAATTAATCACTAAACTATAATACATGGATCACACTTAAAAATAAGTTCTAAAGCCAATTGAATAGGAAAGGATTTTTTGAGAGACACCAAATATGAAGAGACTGGGATATTTGAACCAATTGTCAATCCATTTCACTTTAACAATATCCTCTCTGTGTGCATGTTTGCATTTCAGAAACCAGAATGAATTTACTTTACTAGAGACTGTGTTTATATATGGAGATGTTTATTTTTATGCACTTTTGCCAAGTATTATTGATTGTCAGTATATTTCATGATGATTTTTCATTTTAAAAAAACTCAGTTGCATTAGGTTGTACTGACAATCAATACCCTTTCTGGCTAATCACTTGATAAATTATACAAAGTTTTAAATAGTGAAAACATGACACCCGAAAGCCTTTCACTTAAAGAAGCTATATACTTTATGTAAAGAAATCTATTATAGTTCATTGATTCTATTTACTGGTAATAGCTAAGATTTTGGTATAACAAGCTCCAAGCTAAAATACTGGATATAGTCTTGCCATACTAGTAGGTTCATATTCATCATCTCTAAGCTTCATATAGACTGAAAATTTATTATTCAATGTTAGGATAGTGAGAAAGACCATCTCCTCCACTCAAAATTAAGAAATAAGTAGTAAGTTTAAGAAATCATGGAAGAGAGAAAAAATGTATATAAGTGTGTGTATGGATAGTATAAAATACATATAGTATATATGCTAGGTTTGTAACAATGTTTACTTGAATATAATTTGTTATATTAATATTACCTTATCAACTTGCATAGCAAAAGAAAAATCCACTGTATTTGTCAATGTGTTCTAGCATAAAACAAAAGAGACTGTTAAGCATTCTAATAGCTTAAAGTCACTGGAATAAAATTTTTATTCCTGTGTTTGATTTGTTCATTTATTCCATCAGTCAGTCAATTCTTCATTTCTTCCTTCCTACCTTCCTCTCTCTCTCTGTCTCTGTCTCTCTCTAAAATGTATCATCTATTAACTATCTAATATGTATTGAATACCTACTGGGCACCTGGATATTGATTTGCACAAGATGCTCAATAAATATTTGGAAGATCCAGTAATTTGATTTTAGCATTTATCATGGACTATATGAGGAACATTTATTCTTTTCTTTGAGCATATGATTTCTCCTGTGACTGACTTCCCAGAAGAATAGTAGCTTTCCTGCTGACTCAGGTACAACCTTGCCATCATCTCCTGGGAATAAGTTTTATAGAGGCATATTTCTCCTCCATTATTTGCTCCTTTTCAGAAGAGTGAGTGAACTGTCGTATATTACAAATTACTTCTAACCTTGCTCTATTTTACTTGGAGTTACCTTTGTAGAGGGTAGACACCCATCAAGACTAACAATTAATGGGCACCTGGGTGGCTCAGTTGGTTAAGCGACTGCCTTCGGCTCAGGTCATGATCCTGGAGTCCCAGGATCGAGTCCCGCATCGGGCTCCCTGCTCAGCAGGGAGTCTGCTTCTCCCTCTGACCCAACCCTCTCTCATGCTCGCGCTCTCTCTCTCTCTCTCAAATAAATAAATAAAATCTTTAAAAAAAAAAAGACGAACAATTAACGAAATAGATGGTAACAGAGGTGTTAAAACTATAGATATCACCAAAAATGTTAATACTCATTGCACACATACTACATATCAGGCAATTTTTTTTTACTTTTTATATGGATTGAATTTTTATTCAATCATTTCCATAGTTTTAGGAAATCAATAATATCCAGATTTATAGATGAAGAATTCACCTCCATTTCCTTTTCATAACTTTCATCCAATGTTACACACCAGATTTGGTTATAACCTAGGACTGAACACATGCTGAAATTTAATATTGTATGCCCCGGTATCTTGTTACAATGTCCTGTTTTTCCTCCTTTCTCACTTTCTTATTTTTCAAGAATTAAAACATTAAGACCCAGTAGGAGGAACCAGCTTATTATTCTACCTGCTTCCCTATGAATCCAAGATTCCATGACATAAACTTTTAGCTATTAGTCTCAACAGGCCTGTGTTTTTGTTTGTTTGTTTTGTTTTTTTCTTTCCAAAGAAGCCCTACTAAACACTAACTCTGGATCAGTTATTCACACACGGGAAAACTGGTTAAAATAATGAATATGAAGAATGGTAGAGAAAACAACAATGATAAAAACTAGATACCACTTAAGTATCACAGATCCATGGTCTTCAAACACAGTTAAAACTTCATGTGACTTTTGCATACCTAGCAATCTTTCTGGGGAACTCTAATCATTTTCTTTCCTCTTTCCTCAGTAATTATCCTAAATTCCTAATTTATAATATGATATACCTTCATACCTCATATTTATAAATAACTTTGTCTTTCTTCACTGTGGAAATTAAGGTCATCTGACATGACCTTCCCCTACTTAGTTCCATGTCTCCTGCCAACACTTTCCATCTGAATCCTGCTACAACATTCTTATTCATGCTTCCATTACTGGAAATGTGATTCACTTAACTTCTACTTTGTTTTTCCCATTTCCTGGCCATCTCTATCAAATTAAAAATAAATAAATACAGTGATTGAATAATACACTCCTCTGCTTACCTATATTTCTATTTCCATACATAATCTCTCATTGCCACATACTATTTATTTCTTGTAATTATTACATTTCAACAATCATCCTGAAAAACCCTTTTTAAGATTATCAATAACCTGCCTTCAGTTCAAGGAAATGGAGACTTAACTGATAATATTCCTCCAGTATTAGAACATCATTCTGTTTCCTTAAAAGTCTCACTTTTCTAATTTGCTGTGCTTATTCTTTGGATTTTCCCTTTTGTCTTTTTTCTATGTTGTAAAGTCTTATTTATGTATGCATTTTTGATAATACCTTAAATATCCTCAAGGGCTAATATTTTAGCTATTGTCTCTTATAAATTATATATTCTCTCAGCTATTTCCTCTAAATCCATTGTTTGTTCTACTCAATAAACCAGCCTGATTTAATATGGATACTCTAGTTCTTAGTACACAATCCAGATTTCTAACAAGTTTTTGTTTTTTTTTAGTGATTACAGAACTTGTGAGTCTAGAATTCTCACTAAGCTCCAGATAATTATATTCAATTTTCCAGTTGATTTTTCTACTTGGAAATCTCATAGCTTCTTATAATCAATATATTTAAACTTTAGCTTTTCCTCAGTTCTAGCCTCCCACCCACACAATTATATCTTCATTCTTTTTCACTGGTACCATCACCTGCACAGACAATCTACCTTTGCGTTTTGCCATCTCTACACATTCATAATGTGATTTCTTCTTCCTGATGTGTATGTGCACACTTCATCAAACTTATATTGGCTAATTCCTACTTACATTAAATAATGCATCTCTCCTGAAAAACCTTAGCTGGACTCCTAGACTATTCCGTATGCTCTGCTTCCACTTATCGCTTTATACTGTAAGAGCTCTACAATTTTTTCTTCACAATACTACTTTGGAGATGGACTTCCAAAAATATTTGAGTAGCCAAAGAACTATCAGAAACACTGCTTTATCTTTTTTATGGATTTTTGATTTTGTGAGAAATTTCTTGAACTTCACTCAAAATTTTTACTTTACCAAAAAACATTTTTCCTGTATAGCATGTAATGGTACTCTTATACAACAAATTCATAAATGTAGATAGATGGTCAAATTTATGGATTCATCACATGGAGTAAGAAATCAAGACATTTGATAGAAATGACTAATGTGTTACAATGTTAATAATTTATGTTTCATAGTAACAATGCACTCACTTAAAAAATGAATGCAAAGTATATAGCATAATGCTTGGCATATGCATGTTTTATTCTAAAAGTTATCTAGTATATTTTCATGAT